AAACTCAAAATACAACTCAAAATTCTTTTTAAAATTTAAAATTCAAAAACTCAAAACTCTTTTCAAAACTCATAACCAAACAATTTTTTTTTTTTTTTTTCTTTCAAGACTTAACTCACAACTCCACACTCAAATCACAATTCTACACTCAAATTATGATTCTAAAACTAAATCAAATGAATTATTTTTATTCTTTGGTATTTGATTTACACTTGAAACAAAAACATTTCATATTTATATTTTGGGTAAAGTCAATGATGAGCAACCCTTAACCTTTGAAAAGCTCAATATGACGAACTAAAAGTGAATTTTCATAAAATTGACTTATAAAATTTTTAATAGTAAATTATTTTGAAAATTATAATAAAAAAATATATATTCTTTACTTATCTTTTGTTTAATCAAACAATGAAGAATCCGTAACATATATATTTGAGAAAAACATTTTGTTTGAAAAACATTTTATGTTGAAACAAACGTAGTCTTAGTGAAGTTTGTAAATTATTTACATTTTACAAAAGTAAAAATAGACAAATAATTTTTTTGTTTAAAATTTTTAAATCTATTATGAACATAAATAAAAAATTATAAAAATAAACGTCAGAAGAATTTCAACATTATAAGTCATGTTATTACTGAAATTTGACACCATAGGCACAAAAGTGTGCTATCTACCATGTCAAATTTTAAAACAATAGATGTATGACCGTTAACTTATTTAAATTAATCAACTTGTTCCCAAAAAAATGTCACGCCATGTATATTTTATAAATTCAATAAAAATTAATATAAAAATAAAATCAATTAGTTTTTTAAAAAATACCAACTGTCATATTAAATAATTTTACCTCAAAATACATTTTGAAGGAATAATAATGGTCAAATTTTGTTTAATTTCATTTGATATAAGTTTGAACTAAGTTAATGAATTGAAAATTTTAAAACATTGATTCTAAAAATGAATTCATAATTAAAATATAATTTAAAAAGAGTGCGGGTAAATATAATTAGGTACACATAATGGTGTCATATGACAGAATTATATCATGCTATATGCATTGTTGGGCTAGAACTCTCAAAATATAATATTTGACACTATAACATATTAAAATATGAAATTGTCACAATTGAAATAATACAATTGACTAGAAAATAAATCTTAGCATTTTTCTTAACCATATTTAATCAAATTAATAAGATATGACAAAGGAAAATGACTTATTATTATCTCTAGATTTTGTTTTATTATTTTATTATTTGTGAAGATTGGTAATGAAAAATTAAAAAGTTGAGCACCGGTAAAAATATCTACTGGCATAGGTACAATAAAGAGACAGTGCAAACAAAGGGACAGACTTCTCTCCGGTCCGAAATCCGATTGAAGTGTACTGTTAGATTTGTGGGGGCCTATCACGAGTCTTATTTCGATAATCCGAACTGTTTAATGCGAAGAACTCGTCAAGTACTTTATCCTTGTAAAAAATCACATTGATCAGATATCGATAACTAATTGATCGGATCAAATTTTTGTTAATGGTAAATATAATTTTCAAAATAAATTGTTAACAAAAATCTGATCCGATCAAGTATTTGTCGATATCCGATCAACTTGATTTTTTACAAAGATAAAGTATATTAGACGAGCTCTACAAATTAAACGGTTCAAATCATCAAAACAAGACCTGCGGTGAGCCCCATGGGCCTAACAACACCGCTCAATCTACAAAGTGAATTGGAGATAAACCTGACCCGCAAAGAAAACATGGAAAAAAAAAATGGAGGGAGCTCATGCGCTAAATGAGTAACGGCTGCTCGCCTGTTACTCTTTCAGGTTTAACAAAAAAATTTGAAATTTTAGCCTAAAAAATCTTGACTCATTTGGTCCAATTCAAACAAGTCTTAAGAATGGGCCAAGATCAACAATCAAGCCCACTAAACAAATGCCCATCAAGCAAAATGGCACCCTGCATCTATGAAAGGTGTTAATGTAAAATGTAAATTGTAAAATGTAAACTACCACCCACCTACCACCTACCACCTCCACTACCACCTACACCTACTACCATCTTCTCCTCTATATATATAGGAATTGTAATATACAGATATATCAATCAATATACATCAATCAATATATACATAACAATCAATCAACAATACATAATTCATTTTCTCTGTAATTCTCTCTCTATCAATTTATCTTACAAAAGGAAAGCATCTCATAGAAGGTAAAAAAGGGTCTCATCTCTGCAACACAGCACACAAATATTCTTGAATTCTTCTTCTATTCTCTTTGATTCCAGTGTTCTAACTTTATCATCGGAGTGTCCTCGACCGACAACTCTAGTTGGGTGATGCCAACCATATTTATCTTTGCAGATCTATGACGCAAAACTCATCTTTTTGTTAAATTTCTTCAACAATTCATACGAGAAGATTTTCTGAATCTCACAATAAATAAAAGTAAGTTTAAGTTTATTTGTCATCACTGCATTAGAGATGTACATAAATGATGAGATTTTTTTTATGTAAAAGTGTGATCGGGGTTGATCCCCTGATATGAATAAAAGGACAAGGTTGTGAAATGTTGTTGGTGTTAGTTGGTGGTGTTGTTTTGTTGAATAAGAAAAAATAAAATAAAAGAAAACAATGGATAAAGAAAAGACAGTTTACGGGGTCTGACACGACCACACAGTGTCTGCTACAACAGTCCGACATGACCCCGTAAACTGTCTTCAACAACGGTCCGACATGACCCCATAAACTGTCCCGACATTGATTCCGGTCAGCTTCTACATCGGTCCGACATGACCCCATAAACTGTCTTCTACACCGGTCCGACATGACCCCGTAAACTGTCTGCTACAACGGTCCGACACGACCATACAGTGTCTCCTATCCCATTTTTAATTGTCAGCCTATTTTTCTGTTTTGTTCTCCAAACTCAAGTTGACTAGTACTTATCCTCCTTGAGTTTGAGGAGGGCTGTTAATGTAAAATGTAAATTGTAAAATGTAAACTACCACCCACCTACCACCTCCACTACCACTCACTCCACCTACCACCTCCACTACCACCTACACCTACTACCATCTTCTCCTCTATATATATAGGAATTGTAATATACAGATATATCAATCAATATACATCAATCAATATATACATAACAATCAATCAATAATACATAATTCATTTTCTCTGTAATTCTCTCTCTATCAATTTATCTTACAAAAGGAAAGCATCTCATAGAAGGTAAAAAAGGGTCTCATCTCTGCAACACAGCACACAAATATTCTTGAATTCTTCTTCTATTCTCTTTGATTCCAGTGTTCTAACTTTATCATCGGAGTGTCCTCGACCGACAACTCTAGTTGGGTGATGCCAACCATATTTATCTTTGCAGATCTATGACGCAAAACTCATCTTTTTGTTAAATTTCTTCAACAATTCATACGAGAAGATTTTCTGAATCTCACAATAAATAAAAGTAAGTTTAAGTTTATTTGTCATCACTGCATTAGAGATGTACATAAATGATGAGACCATTATACTAAACTAAAGTTGTGTTGACCAATAAGATGATACCATAATATGGTAAAAAAATATGATTAGTTTAGCATTATTGTTTTTAATAAAATGAAAAGTGTGTGAAAGAGTAATCAAAATGAAGCCAAATAAAAAAAAAAAAGGTAACAATTTATTGGAGTAGGCTTGTTTCTAGTCCAATATTAATATAATGGACAAGATTGTTTGGATACCCTCAAGTTATGATAACAAATTTCTGAGCTCACTAAAGTTAAGCATATTTTTCAGGATACATATGTGGTCCAGTGAGAGATTGTTAGATAATGTCTCAATGGGACCACATAATTAAATGTGGTGTTATCATTTATAAGAAGCCTATAATTTAAGTGATTCAATTTAGTTAATAGGCTTAAGGGTATATGTGTTATGGACCTAATGTGTAGATACTAGTTGTATAATTTCTATTTCTATTCGTCCTTGGGCTTGTTTTGATATTCAAACTATTCATAATGAATGATTTACCAAGTAGTTCATTAAATATATATATATATATATTTCAATCATGTGGCTATTAATGCCTAATCAATTTAATTTTAAATATGAATAATAATCAACACACCAACACCAATAATATGAACAAAATGGTAAATTATTGGTAAGTCTTATGTGATAAACTTAAATACCATAAATTTTATATGCTTTTTTAATGCACCAATAAGTCCTAAAATATTTCTATTAATAAATGAAAAAATAAGTATGACTTATACGTAAAGAAATCTAATCAATACGACCAGCATGTAAATCCCCTGAATGGAACAGAGGAAGCCTTGTCCCATTTTATTAACTAAAAATAAAATGGAAGTCTTGTGGAAGAGTATCAACAAAGAAATGATAATGGTACATAATTAAAACACAAAAAATAAATAAATAATTATAACGTATGATTGAGATTTATCGTGTTATGTGAGTCAATTTTTTTTTTTTCATCAACAAAAAGAGACCTATTAATGAAATAACCAATACAAAGTACAAGAACATTACACACTAGGCAAGTTAGATTTAACCCACAACTCAACCCCCACTTTCACTATTTCACCAAGCTCTTTCATATTTGGCTGACAGCCATTCAAGACAACATCATTCCTTAACCTCCAAGTTGACCAGCATTGCTACTGGTACAAGCCTCCAGATTTTCATCACTAATTTTATGTGTTTTGTTCCCAACCACCAAGACAACACACCATCCACTGTTGCAGGAGATACCTAGCTTAAACCCCACCACTGCAACAAACTTGCCCAAACCCTCCAAGTCTCAGGGCACTGCACAAAAATGTGATCCACATACTCTGCTTCAGATTTACAGAAGGGGCACACATTCTCCACATTACTGCCTATGACCCTTAAATTCTGTAAGAAGCCAGTTGTTTTCACCCTCCCTCTCTAGGCCAGCCAACTCAGAAATTGTGCTTTTGGTGGTGCCACATTGTTCCATAACAACCTAAGAACCAGCAATCTAGGGCCATTATTTAGTTCAAACCAATCTCTAACAGATGGCACTGTGAATGCAGTCCACCTTACTGCATCATGCAGCTCCACATTCAACCTAGGGACATCTCTTGTCAACACTTGTAGCCTACTGACCTCCTCTTCCTCCCTAGCAAATAATGATCTTCTGAACAATAGCTTCCAGTCCCCTGATCTGTCCCTCCTCCGCATAAAAGAGCTCAGCTTACCTTCTTTTTTCACAGAGAGCCTAAACAACTTGGGAAACTCCACTTTTAGCCATAGATCCATGAGCCATCTATCATGCCAAAAATCAAACCCGCACCCATCACCAACCACAATCTTACACTTAGAAACAAAGAACTCAACTAACCCAGGATTAGTCCTTGCCACACTCAATATATCACACCATTCATTAGACTCATTACCAACCACTTCCTTCATTGGTGACCACCTGCCCCGTTTTGCACCATACCTGCTGATGATAACCTTTTTCCACAGTGATTTATCCTTCACCCCATATCTCTACCACCACTTAGCTAACATGAAATCATTTGCATCCCTTACCCTCCTTGGTCTTTACTCATTGTTACTTCCTTCCAATTCACCAAATGAATCTTTCTTCTCAACTCTGAGCTACCCCATAAAAATGTTGCCTTTAACTTGTCAATTTCCTTAGCTACACCTTTTGTAGTTTGAAAACTGAAAGGTAATAACCAGGAAGACTATCCAGCACAGGCTTGACCAAGTTAACCTACCAGCAAAAGACAATAGCTTTCTTTTCGATAAGGCTAACTTGGCCTTAACCTTATCCACCACAAGCAGCCAAGTCTTCTTCCTCCTTGAATTTGCACCAAGTGGTAAACCTAGGTACTTGAGAGGTAATTTATGGCTTAAGCAATGCAATTTTGAAGCATAGTCATGAACCATAACATCGCTAATCCCAACTCCACACACACACTTCTATGGAAATTTATCTTGAGGCCTAACATCAACTCGAAGCATCTAAGAATTCTTTTAATATTCACAATCTCCTCCCACTCTGCTTCACAAAAGAGAATAGTGTCATTTGCAAACTGAAGATGAAACAACTTCAATCCTGCAGACCCAACAGTAGCTCCCTTTAATAATCCCAGCTGTTTTGCAATTTCCAGTAGTAGATTCAGCCTCTCTGCTGCAATATTGAACAAAAAATGGGACAGAGGGTCGCCTTGCCTTAGTCCCTTTTGTGGACAAAACTCACAATTGGTGAACCATTTACTAATATGGAGACTCATGCTGTGATGAAGCAAGTTTTCATCCATCTGATCCGTCTATTTCCTAACCCAAGGTTGGCCATCATGGAAAACAGATACCCCCAATTGACTGTGTCATACGCTTTTTCGAAATCAAGCTTGAGTATAACTCCCTTCATGGGTTCAATATAGGGTGTAAACAGAAATATTGAAATAAAGGTTAGAAATTTGAAACACACAATTCATTTACTGTCTTATGTTTTAATTCTATACATATAGCTTTGTTATAACAGGGGAAAAAAATCGAAGTAGTCTAGGAATAGCGGCTAAATAGGAAACATTCATATGTTAGTATATCACCTGGCCATATAATAGCTTTAAGATTGGCCTGAGATGTCAAGTAATCCTTGTACCTTGTATTCACTGCATCAAATTTGAATTCTCTTACAATTCCATGTTCCGGCGTCCAAAATCCAATTCCTCTTGGCCCATTTCGATCACATTCACAATCTCAAAAGCAGACGATTGTAGTTGCCCATCGACAAAGCTAAAATTTCCACTGAGTCCTCTAAATCTAGGAGTGCTTGAAAGAGCTTGACAAACATGAATACCATTTTGAGACACTCCAACACTTTCAAAGTCGGTGGTTAAATTTTTAGCAAGGTTTGAAATGCTCAAATTCAATGCACCAACTTTCTCAACTGCCATTGCCAGTGATGTGGCTGAGTCATATGCCCATAACCCAAAAACATTTAGATCACTACTAGTTTTCTCTTGGTGTGATTTGTTTTTCCACCTACTAGTAAAATCTTCAAGCTTTTCACTTTTTGGAACATGTGGTTTTACACCAATCACCCTTTGCATTGAGTCGATGATGATTGAAGGGTCAAAAAAATTCCAGGAATTCGTTATCCCATCAGTTATGATCCAGACATACCCTTCACTCATCATCCCGATTTCATTTTCTTTGGTAAATAAGCGAGCGCTAAGAGAGCAAGTCATGTGTACGATAAAAACCCTGGTTTGCATAGTCATCAGCTTGTAAAGCTCTGCAACAATTTCTTCATCACTGGCCACAGGACGAATTGTACTTTTGTACAGAACACAAATTTCATTTTCTTGAAATACATCGGTCAAAAATGGAATCAAACCTTCTCCATACTCATTTTCTGTGTAAATGGGTACAACTTTTTTCCATCCAAAGGCTTGAATTATAGAAGTTATGGGTTGTATTTGAGATGAGTCATTTAGAGCAGCTTGGAAAAAATACGGACTCGGAAGAGATGAGAGGGAAAGACTTGTTGTAGAGAATGAAATAATGGGGACATGAGCTTCTTCTCCAAGATGAATTACAAAATTTGCTTGCATGGGTGTCAATGGTCCAATGATGGCTTTCACTTGTTCAGTTTTCAGTAGCTCCACATCTGCATTTTACATGAACAAGAATGAAATGATATTATTAAGTTTAACTCCATGTTTTGTTTGGACACATTACTTTAAATTTTGAAATTGTGACCAGGTTGGGTACTTGCAAAGGACAGGTTCGACGTTCAAAACTTCTTGAACTAAATCAACAATTTATAATTTTTTTTGGTAAATATAAGGTTGTTATAAAATAATAATAACAGAGCTAGTACAAGATAGTTCTGGGATATAGAATTCCCATAGCATCATACATAACCATCTGAGATATAAAGGGAGATGGAGGGTAGGAGAAAACATGAAAATTCTCATCCATCATAAGCAGCCCATAATTGGCTAGTGCATCCGCACTTTGATTGGCTTCCCTGAAAATGTGTTTAACAATTGGCGATCCGAGGCTGTCCAGGAGGAACCTGCAGTCATGAACAACATTGCTAAGGTGGTGTTGGTCATTGCAATTATTTAATACCATGTGTACAAGAGTGAGAGCATCAAATTCAACTTCAATTGGTGTAAGACCCATGTCAAGAGCCAATTTGACACCATCCCTAAAGGCCCATAATTCGGCAGTTAGACTGTTGGTTTTGCCCAGAAATCTGCAGAAGCCCGAAACCCAATTGCCATGATTGTCACAAATGATGCCGCCTGTAGCTACATGATTTTCATTTGCCGCGCCATCGGTGTTAAGTTTGAAGCAATGAATGAGGGGTGGTTTCCAACTGCAAGCAATGGTTTCATTTGCCGATCAAATAATTATACTAATAATAATGTGTTCGGATCCTCTAGAGTTTGTTGTCTAGAGTTTTCGTAGTGTCCCTCAAAACTGCGTCGTTTTGAGGGAGGGGAAAAAACAGCAAATTTATAAATCACCCAAAAAATTATTTAGCAAAAAAACACTAACATCCCCAAAACTTTTTAAATTAACACAACGTAGACAACAATGACATCAAAAATTGATCAAACCACATTCAAGTAATCCATTAAAAAAAATGGTAAACATCCCTATTTTCTCTCATAATTAATTAGTAATCTACTTTCGCAAGATCTATTGGAACAACACCACCAGAACTGATTAAACCCAGATTAAATTCACCAATTTTATCAAATTCGCATAAAACTTACTTTTCCAGAAGCTTTATTATTGACCCATCAACCTTCTTTTTTGATTTACCGATCGCAATATCACTAGGCTCCGACCCGATCTGCTCTCCATCAGGTGATCTCGATCCGACTTCTGGCGATTCCGGACTCGACCCACGCTGGCTTATCAGGGGTCTTAGAGCTCCATGGAGTCAGATCCGAGTGAGCTTTGGTCGTTTGATCGGACGGTAATGGCTTCGATGATGATAAACCGACCATCTTCTTCGACTTGAACGAACTGAAAGGGTCATGAATCTGAGGATTCCATTATGGCAGTGATGGGCGGAGGAGTGTAAAAATAGCCCGCAGTAGTGAGCGGCCCGAAGTCCACCCAAACAGTTGGACTCGCCCCCGTTAGACCCAACCCTAGTTAGGGACTCAAAGCTTGGGCCTAGGTTATTGAAGTCCGGCCAACCCGAGGTCTAATATTATTTTTTTTGAAAAAAAATAAAAATTTGATAAAAAATATTAAAAAAAGTATTCAAGTTCTGCCCAAACTCAATCTCCGGCCCAAGGTTGGAATATCCCTAGGTTTAGGTTTAATTTTCTGACCTATGGGTCAATCTGGCCTAGCTCGAATTTTGGCGGGAGTCTGCGAGACCCGATATGAGCCAAGCGAGCCCGAATCCAAATGGATCAGGTCGGGCCAAATTTACATCCAGAGAGAGAGAGAGAGAGAGAAATAGGATTCCATTATTTTGTTGTTTAACCCAAGGTTTTGGAAAAGTTGAACCGCTACTAGGTTTCAATAGTACTTAATTATTGATTATATATATATTAGTGATTGGTACACGCGATGTGTAAATTAAATAAATAAAAATAAAACAAAATATTTTGTACATATTGATTGTAATTTCAAGTGATAAGAGTCTTTTCTTTTAAATTTGTAATTTTGAATTCAAGTCTCAATCATTCTCTTCTATAGTTTTTTTTTTTTTTTTTTTATTTTTTTTTTTTTTTTTTTTTCCTCCAGATAACTGAACGCTTGATATAAAGAGAGATTAAATTTTCAAAAATCAATCTAAGTGCTCACATATGAATAATACTAGGGATCATGAAAAAAGTATCATGAAATGCTTCATGAAATTTTTTTATTCATTGATTAGTATGTGGTGTTTTATTATATGTGTAATCTAACGATAGAGAAGCTTTCATAATCATCTTCATGATATTTTTTTCATAATCCCTAACATTACTCCTCACATATATAACAGGAGAAATGCCTCATGGCTCGACATTTTAACACTTGAATGAGCCGACTCTCTTTCTCTTTCTCTTTCTCTTTTTTCTCTATCTATCATACTCCTTGGTCTTCTTCTTCTTCCTTTTGAACTGTGATGGCCATAGCGGCGCCAGAGGGGTTTGCAACAATGGGCTCTCTCTCTCTCTCTCACATGTATACAGATCTGTGCTCATCCATCTCTTTCTCTCTCTCTCTCTCTCTCTCTCTCTCTGTGGCCCGATCTCACCTCTCATCACTCTCACCTCTCTTTCTCCTTCTTTTTTCTAGACTGTTGATCGACCAGCAGTTTTTGACTGTGGTTGTGGGTTTGGTTTTGATTTTGGGATTTGATTTTGATTTTGAGTTTGGTTTTGATTTTGGCTCTGATAATCATTCCCACATGAGACCCCAAATGGGTACAATTCTGATGACCATTCTGATGGGTGATCTGCTCCCAATTCCTTGAATCTTGTGATTGCTTGTTGTTGTATAGTTAATAAGTGTGGAACAGAGCTTTTTGACATTTCCATCTCATTTTCTCTCTCTCTCTCTCTCTCTCTCTCTGTGTGGCCCGATCTCACCTCTCATCACTCTCACCTCTCTTTCTCCTTCTTTTTTCTAGACTGTTGATCGACCAGCAGTTTTTGACTGTGGTTGTGGGTTTGGTTTTGATTTTGGGATTTGATTTTGATTTTGAGTTTGGTTTTGATTTTGGCTCTGATAATCATTCCCACATGAGACCCCAAATGGGTACAATTCTGATGACCATTCTGATGGGTGATCTGCTCCCAATTCCTTGAATCTTGTGATTGCTTGTTGTTGTATAGTTAATAAGTGTGGAACAGAGCTTTTTGACATTTTCGGGTGTCTCTTTTTCAAGTTTTTCTCTGGATTCTCATGGATTAGATAGATAATTTATTTAATAGTAATTTTAGTTTCTGGGTTAGAAAAGGGTGAGATTGAAGATGAGGACTGAAAGGGCTGAATGTGAAATGGGTCGGGTTCAAGCCTTGAGCCGATCCAATCTACTGAAGCCCAAACCCGAGTGGGTTAGGTGAGTATACGGGCAAGCCAATTGAGCCCAACTTCATAATCAACATTCAACCCAAGTTCTCAAGCACTTGGGCCCAACCCGCAGAGGAAAGGCCAGTCTAGCCGTGGTGCTGAGTTGGGCCGAGCTGCGAGACTGAATCTATGGGCCGAACAGAAAGTGAGCCGAGCCCACACAAAGATGCCCGAATGGACCGGCTTATCCCAACAGAAATCTGGTCTAAGGTCGAACTGAGGTACTAAGGTACTGAGCAGAAGGAACCTCACAGAGAAACATAGAAGTAGTGAGCATGTGCATGTGCAAGCTACCACCTCAGCTGGTCCCCCACACCTAGGATCATGGAAGTTGTTGAACCAAAGGAATGTGGTTTGTTATCAGCATGACTACAATGAGTATATGCATTCAATGATAATTACCAGGTGGTCCCCCACCTTGAGCAATGCAAAAAGGACACTTGGCAGCATCAAAGCTCCATGAAACCATCTGGAGAAGCAAGCAAGGAACCCTATATATACTATATGAACTTCACATTGAAGGTAACTGAACTATTCCAAGCAAAATCACATCTAGATATAAACTCAACTCTATATACACTTCTGCTCCGATCACTAATTCCCACATCGGAGAGGTTATCCGGCCAACCCCGGCTGGGCAGCTCTCACGGTGCTTCTTGTGGTAGGAACCTCAGTCCTTGGGTAGTCTAACCGAGTGCGGGGCCCTGATCCACTTTCATCTAGTGCGGAATCCGGTACGCACAATTGGTGCGGTGACCGTGGAACACTTCATCTCTAAGCTCTGCACTTAGTTCCGGCGATAGGGATTGATAACATTCCGCCTTCGACACATACTCCATAAACGGAGAAGACAAAGGAAAAAGGCTTGGCACTCCCAACAATTTTGGAAGAGTAAACTGGAAACAATAACCGGACCCCTGAATCCGTCGAGCATCGATTACCCTTCGCTGGAGGTTCTTCTCATCACTTTCCTCTGGAAAAGGCTTATAGAGATCGAATCATAGACTTCATGGGGATGGAGATAGCTGAAAGCCCAACTTAAGAGGGTGCTAGGTGATCCAACAGAAAAGAAGATTGAAGCAGAGCCCTCTCGTTTGCGACGAAGGAGCTCATCCAGAGAGACACCAGTGAAGAAGTACCCCAGAAACGAGTCTAGGCAACAAAGCCAGCCTATCCCGATACAGAGTGAGGCAATGAGCAATCACACCCGTGGGTCACGCCGGAGAAGGACAAAGAGGCAGAAGATGGTTAGTCAACAAACTGAATAACCCCCTCAAGACCTTCGTCCTGGGCTGATCGGCAACAAGCAGAACGAACAACATCGGGATCATCTGGACCATACTGTTCACCAGAGAGAACACCGAGCGCCGGATAGGCTTGTATCTTCACCATTCTCCCTAGAAATTGAGGCCATGAGACCTCCAAAGAAATTCACCCCACCAAAGTTCACTTCGTACGATGGGAAGTCAAACCCACTGACACATATTAGCCATTACAGAAAAAAAATGTCTCTATGGAGCCGAGATGAGGCACTAATGTGCAAAGTCTTTCCATCTAGCTTGGGAGAAACCGGACTCCGATGGTTCGACCGACTCCCCGCTGGATTGATCCATGGCTGGAAGCAGCTCTCCGAAAAGTTCCTAGTCAGGTTTGTCTTCAACACTAAGATTCCGAAAGAGCCGGATACACTGTTCGGCCTTCGAAAGGAGCAGGAAGAAATGCTGCGCAGTTATGCTAGGAGGTACTGGGAAGAATACAATGATCTGGAGGAAAATGTATATAGTGAACAGATGGCCGTCATGTCTTTCAAACATAGTCTGCGCCCGGAAAGTAAGTTGAGACAATCACTTACCAGGCGCCCGGCCACAGCATTGAAAGATTTGCGTGCCAGGATTGAGTAGTACGCTCGCCTCGAAAATGATCAGATCTCCATCGATGAAGCGTCAACAGAACAAACAGCTCGGCACAAGAAGAGAACAGATCGAGGAGAACACAGAGGGATCGCAGTGAATGAAGTGGATAAGTCCAAATCCCACGAAGCCGTCGTGACTGTATTCAAAGAACCGATCTATCGAATCCTAGAAAAGATCAAGAGAGAGCCTTTCTTTGTCTGGCCACCAAAAATGTTGGGAGATCCGGCTCGGCGCAACCAGAAGCTCAGATGCACCTACCACCAAGATAGGAGGCATATGACTCAGAACTGCAGGGCATTGAAACAACACTTGGAGGACTTGGTACCAGCTGGGCACCTCCGGGATTACATTGATCAGGATAAGGAAGTGACCGAACCGGGGAACCCACCACTAGAACCAAATATTGAGCATCCACCTCGGCTGATAATAAATGTGATCCATGGGACAGCGACTCAGGAACCTGAGGAGACACTGAGAGAAGAAATTGCTAAGGCTGTGCAAATTCAACAAGTCATGTTAGTGGAGCCTGCATCAAAAAAGTTACGCGTGGCATCCAAATCCCTCTTGTGCACTATTTCATTTGCTAGAAAGGATTTAGAGGGCATACAGCACCCACATACTGATGCACTGATTATAACTGTGGGAATTGAGAAACGATTTGATGTAAAATGAGTCCTGGTAGATCAAGGGAGTGCAGCAGATATATTGTATTATGACTTGTTCAAAAAGCTTGGTCTCTTCGAGCAGCACCTCACCCTAGCGGCAGCCCTGTTGGTCGGCTTCAATTCACAGCCAGAATGGGCGCTTAGCAGAATAGTGTTGCCAGTCGTGGTAGGAACAAAAACCCTCCAGATAGAGGTCTTAGTTATTAATACACCATCCCCTTACAACGCCATACTTGGTCGTCCATGGATTCATCAAATGGAGACGGTCCCTTCAACCTACCACCAGCTCATCCGTTTCCCAACGGAACACGGAGTAGAGCAGATCTCAGGGAATCAAGTTGCGTCCAAACATTGCTTCATGGCAGCATTAAAGGCGACGCAGCTCTGCAATTGGGTACAGACAGTAGAAATGGCCGGACAACCAGTCTTGGAAGATGTAGGGGGAGCCCCAGAGGAAAAGATAGTAGAAGATTTGGAGAGAGTCCTGGTAAAAGAGGATGATCTAGAAAAGTACTTCCTTATCGGTACCTC